ACCAAAAGTTCCCCTGGAACTTAAGGAAAAATTTCTTAACAGTGAGGGTGACAGAGCACTGGAACAGGCTGCCCAGAGAGGTTGTGGAGTCTCCTTCTCTGGAGATCTTCAAAACCCGCTTGGACGCAGTCCTGTGCCACGTGCTCTAGGTGACCCTGCGTGTGCAGGGGGTTGGACTAGGTGATCTCTAGAGGTCCCTTCCAACCTTAAGCATTCTATGATTCTATGATTCTATGAAATAAACTTGTTGTGAAAAGGGTATGCACTCCAAAAGAAAACCCTCTCCTCAAGGCGTAAGCAGCACCAAAGGCAGTATCGAGCCTCTCCTGTAAAAAGGAGATGCAAGGAGTGCTACACTGGAGAGGAACAGAGGCAGGACTTGCAAATTAAACTTCCTTTAGAAAAGAACAACTGAGGAGGCTTTTCCTAATATTTCTGAATAATTTTATTAAAAAGACGTCATCACAAAACTGAAAATCACTGTTCAAATAAAGGTATTTTATACAAACGTACACACAGTTCCTTTACTCACTTGGGTGAATAGAGCTCCCTTGCAGCATACATATGCATAAATATTTTAACTCCAAAATGAGATCGTCTGCAAGAAACTTAAAATTACTTTGGAATTTGAAAACACTTCAAAATTTGAAAACTACAGCTGACCTTGTCAAAGAGGGATAAGTTTCAAAACCAGTCTAAAAATCTGAAGTTTGCTGAACTGTGATGAAAAAAATGCCTTAATGGTTTTTTGTCCCTGTGTATTCAGTGACTCCAATAATCTTGGCCTACACATTTTTATTCTATTGAAAACATAAGGACAAGTAGTCTTAAGGCACAAATCTTTCTGTCAGTAGTAGAGCAGGATAACAAACAAACAGGCTTAACAGATAAAGGGAACTACCACCTACGTATTATTTTCTTAAGAAACCAGACCAAAATTAAATAATTCTTTAGAGTGGATGGTTTTTCCTTTTTTTTTTTTTTAAAACGATTTTTTTAAATGCTAGGCTGGAATTCAGCACTGAATTTTAAGACCTACATCTGCATATATTTATTTCTTTCCAGCTTGATAGCCTCCTAAGTCAGAGAAAGTTCAAACGAGAGGTCACAGAAAATAGTGTCCAACACTGAGTATCTAACAAGTCACTATCAGAACATTATATCTTATATTTAAACAAACAAAGAATCCCAAAGATTAGAGAAATCCACTTCTCCCAATTTTGGCAGGATATCTGGGGAAATGCTTGTTCGAATTACAAAGCAGAAAGGAAAGAAGAAAATTAAATTAGGAATTAAATAGATCTGGAAACAGTTATTTGGCTTTAGTAGAAGATCAGCACAGTCATCTGGCTTAACAAATAATCACAAACCTTCAGTCTCACGCTACAAAGACATTCCAAATGTTCTTTCTTCTTGCAATTTGTGAAAAAGTCCAAAATTAAAATACAGACATAACTGATTTCAGGTTTAAAGCAAGAAAAGCAGTAGTTTTCTTACTAGAAGGAATATTAAACCCTAAATCCTTTCCCTAAAAATATGCTTGGCTCAGATGAAATTTATCTTAAGCGAGAAAATTTCACAGAAAGCAATTCAGATCAGATCAGTTAATGACATTTTAAATTGGCCATAGTCAATTATTCAAAGCTAGTGGTTTAGGTCTTCCTGAAAACCCGCTGAGCACATGAATACTTTATTTAGAATCATGCAAAAGCAGAGGATTGCTGCAAATGATCTAGGATAGGTCTCTGGTACAATTCCTTGCTCAGAGGAGGACTATTTCTGAAGTTATGTAGCGTTGGCTCAAGGCCTTTTCCATCAAGCTTTGAGTATCTCCGAGGATGAGGATTCCGCAGCCTTCCTGCACCCACATTTGGTTCATTTCCATAAGCAAATCTTAATCATGAAATATTGCATTGCTTCTAGAAGCAACACACCAAAAAATGGGCTGTAATGTAGGGTGATTTGTTTCCCATGAAACTGCAATCCTCCAGGAAGTGAATCCACATGGATTCTGCAGGAGATGGGACTGTTCTGGCTTGTTGTTGGGATGGGTCCTTAAGACTCCATAGTTTCAGGCTGCATGTCTTCCTCTTTTCCACTAGACGTGATGTGCACAGAGCAGTAATTTATTATTAGAGAGACTTGGGCAGTTAAATGTATGAATTCCACTTCTAGAAACACTTGTTTTGTGACTCCTGTTTGGTAAACAGGCATCGAGGTTCTTTTTGAAATGGCTGGCAGAACACACGGAGTCTTCACTAACAAAAGCAAATACAAATAGACACGTCACCAATCCATGCTGATTCATGCAGGTACCTACAGGCACCTCTAACGCACAGTTTAGGTAGCTTCAGATTCCAACCTTCAACTAAATGTTCAGCTTTCATACAATTAAAGCTTTAGCCTGTGAAAGCTGAGTTGGCTGCTTTTCTACCTGATGGATATTTGACTAGAAGGATCAGGCGATTAAAAAATAGACAAAAGGATTAGAGAAAATTTGAGTCCAAAAGAGAGTTTTAACAGCCACCTTCATCTTTGAAGGTTAGACCACATGAGGGACGCTGGAATGCCTTCCCTACCCCCAACACGTCAACATCAGATAGAGAGCTCCTCATAACCACTAACAGAGTCTTTGAGGAGGTGGGTACAGTGAAATCAGTTCTAGTATGAAGGAAAAACACCTCAACTGAGGATGCATGAATGGTTTCCTTCATAAATATAGAAGCTGTGGAGTAAGCAGAGCAAGGAGCAACACCAGTAACAGAGTGGTTTGCTCAGCTAGTGGCAAGGCACCATCCTAAGTTTGTTCTTCTTCAGAAAGGAGTAAGTTCATTTGGGGTCACCTTTAGGCTAGATGACTTAAGGAGCAGGTCGGGATTTTGGTGCATGAGATCAGAACCAAGAACACCAGGTGTCACCCAATACTCATTCTGGAGGGAAATGATCCCTTCTGGAAGGAAATAATCAGCATTTACTCTCAGCATGCTGCAAGAGAACTATATCCTGTGGGAAAAGGTACAGTATTCTGATTCTTTTTCATAAAAAGGCAGTTTTATAGGACAATTTGCCTGGAGTGTGAAGGATATTACAGATGAATTGATAGATTTCAAAAAAGCAGTAGTGTCATAAACTGTATGCAGCATAACAAGCTACCATTGGCTCATTTTTCATGACTGTAGGACCAAGAATTGACAGAATTTTCATAGGTTTTTGAATCCAAAGATAGTGTAAAGTTAGTTCTCCGCTGTCAAATACAGAGATCTATATCTTGATAGCACAACTATGGAAAATATCACTCTTAATCGGTGAAGTACAGCATGTAAAACTCGCCAGACCCTTTTCTTCTATACCGTATGCTGCTTGCTAATACACAGATTTTATCCACTCTCGTATCAAGATTGGTTAAAATCTGTCTTATGCTGCAAAAGCTCCAAATTCAGGTAGCTTGGTGACTCGAGGAACACTTCTACACACCTCTGCATGTGAGCCTGTAAGCTGAGAGACGTCACAGTTCAGTTCACAAAAACTTATGTTATGGTGGACCTACAATTTTGTTGGCTTGGCAATGGCGGCTCTTTGAACTTATTACCACACGGCAGATCAAGCAAAACACTTCACAGCCCTCAGTAACAGGACAAGACTATAGACTGTTGATAAGACAGCCCTATTAGGGGAGACAGATTTTCTTTTTGGGCCACATAAGCAGACAGAACATACCTCTTGGGGGATCCACAAGTTGCCATTGAGAAGTTAATAAGAGAACTAGAGAAGGAAAGTTAAAGCACTTTTTTGAAGAGGCTGATGGGTCTGCTGAGATATCAGATATTAAAAAATAATGAAGTTTACTTTAAGAAGTTCTGAGGAAAATGTTCTCCTGACGCAGAGATTTAGAAATGATTTTCATTTTTAATATTATCAAAAAAGTACCCAACATTCAGGGAGAAACGAAGAGCCAAAGCCTTGTGCTGCCTCTAAGATTTATGCTACTTAAGGATATTTGCTACTTATAGAGGATTTTTGCTACTTAACCTGCAAGATGTGGTCCACCTTCTAGAATTCACATGCACTGCTCTTGAGTGGAAGAGCTATTGGCTGCTCCAACAATGACAAAGAAGCACCAACAGCAGGTGGCAAAAGACTTTGCAGCACGGACTGATCCTCTGGTATCAGGGATTTTAGATACTATATTTCTCATGCTTTAAGTACATTAAAAATATGAAATTCAACAGCTGGACATTACGGGCTCAGCGTGATGGTGAGGTGGTATGATTAAAGTATTTCCTTAAAACACAGCATGTCAGTGAGTTCCTAGATAGTGAATCAGGTTTTTAAAACACTGCACATGACTCTCGATATACACAGTTTTTCTTTCCTCTTAGGATGGACTGAAGCATTAAAGAATCATAAAAGAATAGCTAAAAGACTTTTTCTTGATGGATACCCAGCCTCAAATGACTTTCCTACCTGTCCATCGCTGTCCTTGATCACCAGCAGGACAGGGGTGTCCAGCCCCAGCATCGTTCGGTACAAAGTCTTCAAGCTCATGCCATGCTTTGCAGTACTGTAGGCCAGAGTCCATGGGTAGCCGATGGTCCGTGGTGGAAGAGACTTTGTGAGCTGTTAACAGGATAAAAATGAACCTCTTATGGAAAAAAATACTTAATATGTATGCACTACATAGCAATGAGGGCTGTTTATGATCTTCTGGACTTTTACAAAGAGCCTTAAAAGAGAAGATCCTTTCGCTTGCTCAGTTTTGTTAAAACTTGCTGCTCAGGAAATGTGTCTGTTTGTACCTGACCTAGCACATATTCCAGGCACTTAAAGTTAAAACAAAGAATTCTGGCAAGACTGTTTAAACTTCAGGCCATGCCTCAAGCCTTACTTGTATGTTTTCTACCTCTGACATTCCAAGTGGGCTTCTTTTTCCACCTCTGCCATGGACTTTCATGAGAATGACTTACTAACTGTTTGTAAGGTCTCTAAAAGAGTTATATGAAGGCACTAAGAGCATGTATTTATTCTTGCATAACAATCCTACGCCTCTGAACTGAAGAGCTAGACTAGCTAAGCCAACAGGAATCAAGCTGAAAAGTACTAGAATAAGATGTTTGCTCTTCTAACCCTATTCCTCCAACAACAAAAAAACCCCCAAAACAAACACACACACACATGAGAAAAGACATAACAAACCGGTCCAAACTTAATCCAACCTTCCATAAACATATTTAACAGGATTACTTTGGACTAGATCAACTACTGAGAGAGCTGAGCTGTTGTCAAGGGGGAATGCAAACGGTAGAGAGAGCAGAGTTGGTAAGAAATCTATAGTGTATTTAAAGTTCTAATACGAAGGAGAAAAGCAGGTACATATACATCACAAGTATAACTTAATACCTTTTCAATTTGTTCTGGTTGTAGTAATTCGCTTGGATCACTAAGATTTGGCCGGAATGCTTCAGGCTCCAGGTCTGTTTTAATATTTGTTGTCTGTTTTGAGTTTGTATCTTCTCTTGTTGTTATCTACAAAAGAAGTTAAAAAAAGTAAGTATTCACAATTCCATTTGCAGGGTCAGGTGATTTTGCAGGCTCAAAATCATGCAGTTACCGATTAAACATCACAACCCCTTTGAAAGTTAAGAAATCCATTAGATTTGTCCTCATGAAGATTCGTACTGCTTCACGTAAGTTGTTACTCAACAATATAACAAACTTACACACACTCAGAAGGAAACTATGGTTTTATGCTAAAAAAACAACTCCTCACACACAGCTGAAAGACTTTAAACACTCCTCAGAGAGCACAGCACAAAATGCTTGCACTGTGATACTAACTTGGTAGTAACCTAAGCGTAATTACAGAAAACTACAAAGAGGAGACATAGAAGCTTCCAGATGGAAGCTCTCAATTTTGGAATCAGTAACTTGTAGAGTATTCGTAAAGCTTTCCACATGTCTACCACTGATCTAGAGAAACTGCTGTCAAGTTGTTCAAGGCAAAGCACCTGAATGGAGCCCTATGAACGCTGATTCCTTGGAATGGATCTGCTGGGCTTTTCATGGGACAAAGAAGATAAAATGACAACTGAGAGGAATGGGGGAAGGAAAGTATGCAGTGCATTAGCACCACGGATGGAGAGTTTTGAGGACTGGCAAGGAAGTAATTGCTGTAGGAGTTTAAAAATATCTGCCCCGTATGTCCCATCTGCTCCGCTGTGATAGATCACCACTTAGGGAGGCAGCAAAAAGCCACCAGACTCCTCAGATCCCACAGCAGCTTCTTGCCTCACCACGCTCACCAGCACTTTCCAGTTCAAATGCCATATGCTGAGAACTAGGCCAGCTGAGATCCAAACACTTTTCTTTCCACAAGTTAGTTAAATTTGCCTGTGAGGATGGCAGAAATCTCACAGAGGGGTAGGAGAGAAAGCTGAGGGAAGTAGCAACTTAAGCCACTGCAGCGAGGTTTGCCCTAACTTGTAGTTATCCAAGGGAAAATAAAAACTAAACAACAGAGTAATCCTGAATAATGAATCAGTCTAAGTCAAAATTCACTGAATGGTCTTTAGACCATCTGAAGATTTATAATGGAACCTTGCAAATATCAAAACTTTAAGTGAAAACAGAAGGACTTAAAGACAGGCAGCTGAACAAAACCAGGATAGTCCTTTCCCTCAAGAACTATGAAAGAAATTATACAGGTACAAACTCCTACTACAAAAAAAAAGGAATTATAAAGTCAGAGTTTATTCAAAGTTATTGTATAACTCAATTACAATGTTAATTACTCGTTCAAGACAATGTACACTTAAAGCCAGCATCAAGCAAGCAAAACTCAAGTCTTCGCTTTTATTTTTTTTTTTATTTTATTTATTTTTTTTAAATTCAAGGCACGCACTAGCTTCCAGACCACCAGAGAAGTGCACACGTTTGTACATTTGGCCTCCTGCACAAAGACAGGAAACTACTGCTAAGTGCTATAAAACGTGCTATTGGCAGCCCAATTCGCTTCTGCCTTAAAAATCTCACACCTCCTATACTAATGCCTCGATTCTATGCAACTTAAATATTGCTCACGACAGGAAGTTTATTCCCTAAGTTCTTCCATTCTGATTAAAGAGCCTCAGACAAAAAGTATTTTTATTCAGTTATAGGACTGCTTTGTTCTAGAAGAACACTGCTTTGTAGGAATAGCCAGAAGAATGTATCCGCATGTAGGTTAAAAACTTGCCACTTTATTTCCTCCTTAATCTGTGGACTCCTTGGCAATTCCCACAGACTGACTCCAGGATAGAGTCCAGGGGTTTCCATTACTAGTGGTTCCTCTGTAGCCCACACTACAGATGGCACAAGTGGCCCCAGAGCCCGGGGCATGCAGAGCAGTGAAACTTTTTGCAGAACATCCTTTTTTTCCTGCAGAAGCTGAACTGCTGCTTTTGGGTTCACTTAAGCAGCTAGCTATTGATTATTAAAGAGATAGCAAAAGCTCAGAAAATGCATTCTTATATATAATTACACAGTAGATAGGAAAAGAAACGAGCAGAACAAAACTGCGAATTCCTATAATTTCATGAGGAAACAAAAATTCACTGTTTCTTTGGGCTGCTGAGCTATGTTTTCCATCAACACGTTACATATGACGTACATACCAATTTAAAGTTTTATATATGTCGAAGAACTGAGAAACACCTAAAGAGAATGCAAATATCAGATTAAATCCATGTCACTAAACCTCCAAAATCAGACCTAGACTGTTTTTGGAACAAGAAGCTCCACCAGCAGCTACATTCGTGTGAGCTGCAACATGTCCAACTACCTTCAGTTACCTGCTTCTATAATGGGAAACATACTCACCTATCCCACAGAGCAGCCGTGAAGCTTCATATTGGTCAAGTACTGTGAGATTCTGCTGAATTGCTCCTATATAGAACTAACCCTTGCAACTACGTAGCAAGTTTTGGATTCATCACCTGTTTTGCATTCTTTTTAGGAAAGTTTCTGTCTAATACAACACACAAGCCTAAAGAAAAAGCTAAAACACAAAGTCAAGCGGCATTGACAGCAAGTTGTTGAATTCTGACAGAAAATTCCTATTCTAAAAAGTTTGAAGTAATAATTTAGTCAAATTAACATATTCTATCATAGCACTGCACAATAGAATATATCCAAAACAAAGGAATTTTCTGCTGGATTCTTGTAGTGCTGTAGATAAGACAAACCCACCGAGCATGGGACTTGTCCTGATCCAAGACACTACAAAAAGATGTTTTTATGTGCTGGAGATGGGATTAAACTACCAAAGAGGGCACCTGGAGACGTCTGCAGAGTGTGCGCAGTTCTTCGCTATTTAGAGCATCGATCCTGCAGTGATACTCAGCCACCGATACTACCTGAATATGGAGACAGGAAGACAATAATTCCACTGACAGTTGAAGAAAAGGAAAAACGTAAGAAAAAAAATAAAGTGCAGAAGGGTAAGGAAAGGAAAACGCACAATGGTAAGAAAACAAAGTGCTCGGGAGATGCTTGTTTTTGCAAGGACGATGCACATGTAGGTGGTTTCAGGCTTATGAGGAGGAGACACAGCAAAGTTACAAAGTAAACACGCTTGACACTACAGCCTGGAGCTTTTCACTGCTCTAACGTGAACATTGAGCATACCCAATCGTGATGATAAATTACAAATTAACAATACAAGTCACGTGCCTCATTCTAAACCCTTCACCCGAAAGTCCTTTCGGAGGTTACTCGCAGAATTTGCAAGTTGTTTGGACCCATTCTGCTTTCCAAGCTAAGCGGGAAGATTAGAAGCAAAACTTGGGCTTCTCAGGAGGGTTCCAACTCCTGTAGTTAGCAGTGAAGATGCTGCTGGAGACAAGGAAGCGCAGCTGAAGTTCAGGAGCTCTCCAGTGACATCCCACCATGCCCTCAGCCCATGTGTTTTGGTCACCTCCAAAGCACAAGGAGCTACTCCTATATCTACACGTTCATTCCAAACACCACCTCCGTTTTGGCAGCAGGTGTAGAGCAGAAAGCTCTGCAACACACTGTCCTGGCGTGCAACAGGCTGCCTACAGGCCTACGATAGTTGCTTGGATGCACTACAGCAAACAGTGTGATTTTAAGAGATTCAAAACCATCATTTGCACGAAAACAGCTTAAAGCAGCTGGCAGATATTTAAATAAAGGTCCTGTGCAGTAAGAGCATATTAAAAACTTCCCAGAGAGGCCACCACGGGGCAGAGGACAACAGCAGCAGCTCCCCATCTGCCTGCCCTTCCACAGGGGGTCTGAGCAGGTCCTGGTAACTGTCCCGAGTACAGAGCCATGGTCCAGACCAGGTCCCTTCGCTCTAGCCCTGCAGCTGCGAGGCAACGAGGAGGGCACATCCAGTTTCACCAGTCACAAGTAACTTATTTACACCAATTCCAACTATTCTTTTTAAAAAGCCAAGAAATAAAATTGTTATAAAATTGTAGCGGTTCTTGCATTCTCGGAGCCAAGAAGTTACACCCAAAGCTTCAGTCCTATTCCTCTCCCTGTGCCAGGCTCCCCCATTTGTTTGCTATGGAAGTTCACTGCTTCATACGGATTATTCCCACTCCCCACTGTGGGCCTCACTCTGTCCCTTTCACACAAGGGACATCAGCTAATTAATAGGCCATAAATTTGCGTTTATGGGATTTCAGATAACATTATGTAATTGAAATTTCACTTATTGGAATACACATCATTTTATATGCATGCCATCTTATCTTCAAATGCTAATATCTGCAAGCTGTTTATCAACTTTTTGCTCAGTGAGCACAATATGGCAGTTTTTCATATGCTGTGCAGAAGGCTACATCCCCAGAACGCATGGCATAGAGACCAATGCTCTCAAAGCTAGTCCTTAAAATAAGTGTAATACCCACACTGGCACTCTGGGAGTGGACAAATACTTGTTTTCTTCTACCTGCTGTTGCACTGACTTTCCAGCTGCTCTGCTGATCATTCTAGAAGCTACTTTACCCCATTTAATTTTGATCTATTTATTCTTTAATGCAGTATTTCATTTGCTCCTTGCACACTACTAGCACTAGGTAGTGAGATGCACGCATGGAAGACAGGTAGGTATCATATGGGACTTTAAGGATGTTAAGGGCAGAATGGTTTATAGATACATGTTCCTTAATTCAATTCCTTCCTAAGGGAAAAAAGGATGACTGAGAAATTAATAGCTCTTTATTTGAATCCCAAATCACCCAGCCCTCTCTGCAGAGCTGTCCTGAATGCCAGGTTGTTTTCTAGAGCAGTGGCAGAAGGGCCAAGGACGTTGCAAGAGGGCGACATCCAGCAGCCTCCAAAGCTCTGCACGGCCGAGGGCGAAGGGTCTGGCTCCAAACCGAGCTACAATTAACACACTGCAAATACATGAAGAACCAGGAATAACAGAGCTTGGACAAGCCAAAGACTACGAGACTGGAAAGCTTAGTAAGTAATTTTTTCTCTGGATATAAGGTAGACAATTTAAAACTACAGTAACACCAACAAAAGAACTAATTTATCTAAAGGAAGGCAATTTTTAGAGTTTGACATCGGTGTAAGATTTATGGAAATTATTTTCTTGAAGAGCTAGGCCAGGTAGCTTAACTCATTTTGTCAAAACAAAAACAAAAATCCGCTATAAGCATTACTAAAAATACTTAAGTTTCCTAAACCCAGTAAATTCATCCTGCAAAATAATTTTGCTGGCACTGAAGCTTTCTTAATAGAGAAACTAGGGATGAGGTTGAGTTGCCTAAATGCAAAGCCTCTAGTGCCCGGCCTCAATTGGCTTCTCTAGCAGACAGCAGGCTGGTCAAGGCTAGATACCAATTCTGACTTCACTAGTGCCATGGAAATATTCTCTTGGATTGCCAAGAAAGTGCTGTGCTACATGCAGGTGTTACGTGTTACTTGTTTGCTGCTGACTTACACTGTTCATCTGCTAATACTGTTCTTTGAGGCCTTTTGAAGTGTTCACATCCTAAAATACTAGGCCTCACTATAACACCTAATATTTAAATGGGAGATATTGTTGGGATGAGTGAGTCGAAAAGTGAGTCAATTTAGCAAATTGGTTGACACAAGGTATGGCAAAAATCTGTTGTACCGGGGCAACGTTCCAGCCTCGAGAATCATCAGTAGAAGGAGGCACTGCACTGCACTCTGCTGTTATTTCCCTTGGTTATTTCTTTAGGCTTTTTCCTAAGGCTTCCAATGCTCCTTCCCTCCCACCTGCAAGGACGGGACGTACACACACGGCACCCGGTCACTGGAAAAACAACTCACAGCACAGGCCACAGCAACACTAAAACAGCCTCTATGTCTGGACACCTTTAGTTTCTCTTTTAATTGGACTTGCATTTTATATTTGTGAAACTGTTTTCTACCTCCCCCGTAACAAAGGGATTTCTCACACATTCTTTAGTAAAACCGCTCCATAACCGAGTTGGTAACTACTGATTTTATTAGCATGGTTGGACGCCAGACAGAAATGAAGTGTTAGTCCTAAGAAAACACGTGCAACATGCAGTGTTGCTGCTTGTGCAATAAGCTGGATGATAGAAATAGTGTTATTTTTTTTAGAAACACAGTTTTGGTAAACTGTGCTCCATAAGCTCCATAAGCATTGCTTATGCTTCCATAGGGCAGGCTTCATTTATATCCCAGTTAGAATAGAGATGTAATCACTGAATTATCTTCCATCTATTCTACATTTCCAGAGGAAAATCAAGAAGCTGCTATCTCCAAAGTATTTTATTAGTTACTAACACGCATTCGGGGAACACACCACTGCCGCACGACAACACAACTTCATTTTCTGCAAGTAACTTCAGCTCAAATGATAAAGAAACAAAACCAAGAGACACTGAACAGCACCCTCATAAAAAGTGTCTCCAGGAACCCCAAATTTGCAGCTCTTATAAAGAGAAAACGCTCGATCACAAATGAAAAATATATTGTCTCTGTATATACTTATGAGCTGGTAAACCACAACACAGGGTCAATTATACTTCTTCT